ATTAAAGTTAAATGTAATGCATCTTAAACAGACCGTTAGTGGAAAATACTCATTATAAAATATGGCTGAGCCTAGGTAATGCTTCTTCCAGCCTTCACTTGAGAGGTGTCTAATAATGGGAAGGATGTTTAATTATGGATGCAAAATGTCTGGATTTAATTTTAACTTTGTTGTGCCATTTAACATTGGTCATAATACAATATTCCATGTAGGGTTACGCTAAGTGACAAAATAGAGTGCATGGGAGAGCAGATATTATTTAGGTAAAATAATACATACCTGGTTTTCAACATTTAACTTAAGAGGATATGTAAGGAGTAACTGGCTCCAATTACATATCGTCTTAGCTTGGACCTCAGTGGATTAAAGACTTAATATTGGTCTAAAATGAACTGCTTTCTCCCTCTTCAGCAGCAAGAAGGCCTGTCAGGCCCGGTATTGGCAGGAGAGGAAGGAAAAGAAAAACGTGGCACTGCGACCTTTAGCCACTGCCTTTCCTCCGAAGCTCTGCCGTGGTCAGGCATTCTGTCTCAAAGCCTTTTCTCAGAGAAGTAGAAAAAGGTGCTGTGGTAACTTTATGGCACAGAAACAAGCTGTGTTTTGCTTATTGTCCTGTGAAGTACGAAATGTGTTACCCAATGGACGAACCGTTCTTTTCTGTGAAAAATTTGTGCCTAGTGGTGTTACAAATTCGATGGCCTTGATAAAACCGAGCAGAAATGAGACCGTGATCAAGTGAGGCAAAGACCTGGTATCCATGTGATCGCAGGAAAGAGAAAGGAAATGCTAATCAACTTCCTTTGCCCTCATATACATCTCACTTACCCTTGTATTTTTTGCGAGTGGCTATATTGCAAAGCTGAGCGATAAGGAGTGTGAAAGCTGCCCAGGCTTCTACCTCAAATCTATGTCATCATCAGCTGGGCCTTGTCAGATTTGGCCTCTTGGGAAAGAGGAAGTCAGATTTTGGAGAATAGCGTAGGCACTACCCTTTCATTTTCTTACTTCAAGATGGACAAGCATTTAGGGAGCAGTCCTGTTCTGAGAAGCACTTTGAAACGATGGATCTCCAAGCTGACAGCCCAGAGCCTCTCTTCACGCTTGGCAAGAGGGCTGCACTTAGTTCAGAACCTATGAAAGCCACAACCAGCGAGACACGGCCTTCTTTACCCCGATCGGCCTCAAGAACAAAACAACTTGTGGTTTTCAAACTTACGAGGGCTCTTCTGACACAGCAGCTCCTTCATCTAGCTCTTGAGCTTGTTTGTACCACGGCGCCCTGGCCTCTACCGGAACTTTCTCTGAGAATTAAATGTATGAACATAAAAGAGATGAGGTTAGAACCCCAACTAGCTCTTGAGTTTGCATTACCCACAAGCTATGTATGAACATTACCCACAAGCTATGTTGATAACTGCAAATAATGTTTTTAGGTAAATTTCTGCCTCTGATGATGATTATATCCAGAAAAAAAGAATGTGATTTTAACACGTTTAATAATACTGTGTATGTTTTCCCCCTATTATGTTGAAGAGCAATATATATATATATATATATATTATTATGAAAGTTATAACTCTAGGAGCACTAGCTCAATATATCATCAAAGTATCTTTTCACTATTTTCTGTTGAAAAGATAGAGCAATATTTACCTTTTAAAACAAACACAAAGTACAAAAAATTATACCGTGTTACTTTCATAAATTCTAATTTGCTTTTCTTTTGCCTTTGTCTGAGTGTGATCTATGCCATATTGTCAAAACCAAACAGAACCGCCACTCTGATATTTACAAACCATTGCTTCAGATATCCGATTCATTCACTATACACCCCAAGGCTCACTGACAATTGGAATATGAGCAACTGAAGGATAATAACCCATGATTTGACTTGTTTCACCTATTTCTGTAGCTTTGGGCCAAACAATTCAGAACAAGCTTCCTAACTACTTCCTGGGGGAGAAATTGTGTGAGAAAAAGAAAGAGGGAGATTAAAACTGCTCCTACAGAAGTAACTGCCAAGATTTCCATTCTGACATATTTTATTAGGGTCATTTATAGGCATATTTGCTTTATAGTATAAGCCAGTGAAGCTCTATCACCATTTTATAACATATAATTGCAAAGATGAAAGAAATGTCTATATAGGCATACACCATAGAATTATATAGCATTTTAATGATGCTTAAGTAGAGCCAGACTCACTACTTAGTTGTGAAAATCCCGATTTTATTTTTGATACTTAACCACAAACTGCTTTTCTTTTTCTGAAGTGGTTTGGTAAAGACAGAGCTAATGATTAATTGACTATTTTAAGTTAGGGCATCGCTTCTTGTCTTCTGTGTGCAGCAATTGTTTACGGTCAGAAAACAAAGCGAGTGAGAAATATAAAACTGCCAAAGCCCAAAAGATTGGCTAACATTTTAGACTCAGCAGTACGGTACCTATATACAGGAAAACCTCGATATAACAGACTAATTTGGGCAAGGGGGTGTCCGTGAAAGCTGAAAGCCCATTATATAATAAAGTAGATTTTCTGAACGTGTCTGTTAAAAAATTGGCCAATTAGTTTGCCTTTTTTTAGTTATGTAGATACAGTTGTGTAATAAAAATTAAGTATGTGTGAAAAGTTTGATTTAACAGAAAAGTTTTCTCTATGTATCACAATAATTTTAAACTTATTCTGAATGGGTCTAGTAAATGCGTGCATTCACCAGTCACTGTGAGTTAACAAATGCACGCGGCTGGGGTGTGACTTAGCACACGTGGGTACATCGGCTGGCACCAATTAAAACCGCTGCAAAAGTCACACCACATGGTAACAGAACCATCTACCCTGTGTGATGCGGTGTGATCACATGCTAATCATTTGCCAAACACTGTTTAGGAGCGGCGACCCTAGGATTTACATATGTAGCCTATAGTTGTAGATATGTAATATTTATTGACATTTGGTGAATTTACTACAGTGTTTTTCCCCAACATATGGCCTATTAGCTAAAATTTGTTAAAAATAACAGTGAATAACAAAAAAAATAACCTGTTAACTTAAATATAAGCAAATACTGATTAAAAACATTTAAAAGTTAACAGGTTGTTAATTTCACGTATGACATACAGACTGTTATTTTGTCCATTAAATGGCGGTCTGCAAAATTGAGGGTTTAACCATCATTTAACTAGTCCGCGTCTCCCAGCTAATTGACTCAATGACGCCATCTCTGACAGCATGAGCCATCCCTGTCTTTCAATAAGGAAGCATTCAGCTTGGCACGAATAGTGGGCTCGTTGTACTTTACTGCCTATTTGAACTGAATCCTGTCAGATGTACTTCCTCCCACATATGAGGATGCTAATGATAGTCAAGATAACATTTATAGAACACTTACTACATGCTAGGCAGTGAGCTAAGCACCCTGTTTGCATTGTATCTCATTAAATCTTCATATGGTCTCTGAGGGAACTACTGTTACTATTCCCATTTTACAGATAAAACTTAGGCTTACAGAGAGAGGTGATAAATTAAAATTAATCAGGATTTCCAGGATGCTTTTGTTTTTCTTTTATATCATTAATTTAGATTTCACAATGCTAGTCATTCCTACCAAGGGCAAACTGTAGTATAATAAAGAGCTATATAGTGGCTGATTTTTGGAGAAATTTAATGGCTTAAGAAAACAAATTGAGAAGAAAATGGGAATCCTATTCAATATTAAAAATAGGAGGAAGTTTGTAATAAAAAGTCCTTTACTTCTGAATGGTTTGTGACTTTGGAATTTTCTACTTCATTGACACAGACTCCACCAATATTAGCAGAGAAGTCAGATTAATATTCATGCTAATCTGAGCGGTCCAGCATAATTGTAATCTTGCTCACTAGGGTAGAACTGTTCTAAAGCCTACTTTTTAAAATTATTTGCAGTAACTATTAAATTCTAATTTATTTCAATGTTTCATTTCAAATTATGTTTCTGGAATCCACTACATTCATAATGTGTTGATTTTTAATATAAAAAGCAACAGCTTTCTGTTTCATCTTTTTTTTAATTCTTTATTAGTTAAGGTATTACAAATGTGTCCTCATCCCCCCCATTATGTTTCATCTGTTTGAGGTATGAGGCTTCCCAATGTATTTTCTGCTTAGCAAAATGGACACTTAGAATTCACTGCATTGTTTTTAACAGCCAGCAATGTGGACGTTGACCACACATATTTCTACAATATCTCTATAATACCTCCTGGCATGCAGATCTATCTGATATTCCTCAGCAACAGTCTTCAAACAACGTTATGACTCAGGAGAGCATTATATAAATATGTAGTGCTTTATAAGAATTTGCAAGCAAGACTATTGGAAAGATCTTTTAAAAAGTTAAGTCCACTTAGTAGAGTCTAAGTTTACAAAGAATAGTTACTAAGAACACGTGGGATACTTAACAATATTCCAAGGAGTTTAAAACAGCACCCAAGTACACATACTAAAAAGCTTGATCACAGAGCACCTGCCAACTTACCTTTGGGTTTATAGCAGGGGGTGGGGATGATGCATTCCTCCTTTATGTGGGGCTTGGTTTTGGAGTTACAGCCTCCGGAGTGCATTCCTCGAGGGTTGATGCAGAGAACCACGCGATACCGGAGTCCCTGGCCACACGTCACCGTGCACTAGAAGGAGAATGCAAGAGAGAGGAGACTCACAGGCAAAGCTTTGTTTCCTCTTCTCCATTTCCCACTGAGGTTTTTCAAAGGGCTGCTTGTGTATATAAGGACTCCTGATGAATTTAAACCACTTCTTACCCATCATGGGGTCTTTATGCTATTGGGCTTTTAGGGTGCAGCTGGCTGAAGATGCAATCACTTCATTTTGGATTACTCAATCAGCATTCCTTCAACACCCACTTTGTGCAAAGTCCCAAACCAAGCAGCAAAAAGGAGAGAAGAAACTAGAAAGTGTCCTCATTTTGATGACTAACAAGGCATTTTAATATTAATAAGTCCCTTTGATAATGATTGGTAGGTCCAAAATATGGGAAATTCTAGCTCCGACATGGACATAGAAAGTTTTTCAACTGTCATCATAGCTAATTTATGTTGCAGCCTGGCTGATCCAATTGATGATACTGACATGGAGAAAAGTGTTTAAAAGAACTGATTCAATGGCCAGATGTAGACAACACTTCAGTGGTTCTATACGCCTGGGAGCAAGTATAGAAAAAGCGAAATGTCACAGCTGGGATCTGCTGCCACAAAGCCACTTAGCTAAAATGAAAAGTCTTTTGCCATCTCTGTGACCGAGGGCACAAGGGTTTATCCCCCCATCTTTCTATCTCCTTTGCTACTTCAGACCTTTTTGCACTGGCAGCCAGGAAACCCCAAATCCAAATAATTTTGTTTAAGCTGCTGCAGCATCTTCTCTAACATCTAGAATGTATTTGTTTTAGTTATTCTACTTCATCTCTTCCAGTTATTTTGTGATTTTTATTGCATCTTTTTTTTTTCAATGGATGATATACATAGCTTTAATTTTAATCCACTCAATCCCCTTTTGGATATAGAGAAAGGATAAGAAATTTAAAAGAAAAACACAACAAAACACCAAACTTTAGGTCTACTGAGCTCTTTCACGGATTCAGGAATAGTCATTGGGCCTCACTTACTCTTGACAAACATGTGCCTCCTTGTCCTTAAGGGGACATGGAGATGGTAGAGGCTTCTTGAAGAA